GTGGGTTGGAGGGGGATACGTTTTCGGGGCGGGCCAAGGGATTAATTAGATTTGTTTTGAATTTCATTTAGAAAAAAAAAGTTTTAGTTCGCGAACATTTTGGTTCACGAACAGAATCAAAATACTAAGTTCGTGAACCGAGGCACAACTTTACCAAGATTCTAGCCACCTGGCTATGGAGACGGCTTCCTCTGTGTTTTCTCAACATGTAGTAATGTGCGTAATGCTGAGGCTCGATTCCTGATGTGGGCAATTTGGCAGCAGAACGTCTTGCATTGGTTTTGATAGGGCTACCGAAAGTTGACTGTTTTAGAATATCTGTACTAGTAACTGGGTGTTGACTGTTCCTATAATTGACATCTGGCGTGGGCGTGTCCAGATTTCCTCCACCAGCCAACGATCCAGTCACTCTGGACTGAATCTGCATAAGAGAGCAGTTCTTAATTGTCCGCTCTGTGAGCAAACTTGTGCAGTCTGACTAATTCTGTCGAAGGGGAACACGGGATCTCGTGTATGAGAATAAATCAGTAAGTCATTAACTGATATATTTGTGTCTTTGTTTGCTTGTGTATAGGTGTGTAGTATGCACAGGTGTTGGTTCTTTAACTCTTTGAGTCCCAGAGGGTTTAGCATCACAGGCCCAAAGGGTAGTCTAGAGAGGCGTAAAATCGGCGCGTCTTGCGTTCACTGGGCTTCTAGGTAGGAATCTGTCAACGTATGATGCGATCCTTTGGACAACGAGTTAATTTTATACGACCCTATCTGTTCGGCTTCGAGTTTTGGCAGGAAAATCGCCAGAACGTTTCATAGTATGGGGGGGGGGGGGGGGGGGGGGCAGTATTGAAATTTAGGCTTGGTAGTAGTTATCATTTAACACTAGCCCCAACCCTAACCCCCCCCCCCCCCTGCCACCCACCCTCCCTCTTACATAATAAGTTACTGCCCAGAAAAACCCCTAGAAATTCCCTACGAAATCTCGAAGCCGACAAGATGTGGTCGAAGTATAGTCATCCCAGGTAGAACTGAGACGGATTTTGTTTCCTTTTAATTAAAATAAAAATCACCTTCGGCTCCCAGGTCGGCCCAGGGTCGAAAAAATACTGTGTAAAGTTCTGGGAAGTAAAGGCGGCCAGTTTGATTTTGACCACATCACCCACCAAGTGCCTATTGGTTTATAAAATATTGGTATAGCACAGGGGTGGGCAAACTATGATCCGCCGGCCAATACTGGCCCACCGATCACTTTTTACTGGCTCGCGGGGCTGGTAGAAAATCGTTATATACTCTGGTCATTGAGCTCGCAAAATAGCAGAACACAAAAATATACGTTTGAATTATTCAATTAAAAAAAAGAATATGATTATGTGTAAAGTTAAGAAGGTTGTGCTTAAAAAACTCGTCACGTTTAACCACCTTCCGCGAAAGGACAGCTTTAGGTTATAATTGTGACTAGTTTATGTGCACCATATAAAATGGCATAACATTGCACGCCACCAAGAGTCCTGAAAATGACTAGTGAAGTGTTGGTGCGATCAAAGGAGAATGACCCAAATACTGTCCCGATTGGCGACAAAGTCGTCTACTGGCAAGCCGATGGGCGACCCGGTCGCCGATGTCCTCTAAAGTTAGTTGCCTGTCTTTTAAAAAGGTCGTTGTCGACCGCCCCTTCTCCCTTCCCCCTCAGTATGTGTGTGTGTTTGTCTGTGTGTGTGTACTGTTTGTGAATTTATTAGGCAATTTTACGTCCAGTTGTTTGGCTCTTGTTAAGACTGCCGCCAAATCGCCTACAGCTAGGATCGAGCCTGGTATGCAGCCTACTCTGAAAGGTTCCTTGCTTCTCAGGCAGATGTACCCGGACTTTTAAGTAAGCTCCCAATTAGTCGACTCTTACGTCATGCTTTTGGGTAGACAGTGGGTCTATTTTTTTTTTTTTTTCCCCACAATGAAGCCCCAGAACCCACACGGGGAATTCTATGAGCATGACCCGGCCAGTCGAGGCGGGCTCCATATGCAGACAGTAGGTTGAGTCTAGGGCTGTACCGAATATTCGCTTCGTATTCGCTTCGGGCCGAATAGTGGACCTACTGACTATTCGGTATTCGGCCGAATAGTTGCGGTCCGGCCGAATACGAATAGTAGTTACCTAAGCTGTCAGTGACAATTTCCAAGTTTAGTTACTTTTTATAAAACTTAGGATTCTTTCATTTCTAGTTATTAGTTAACTCAGACTGACTGAAGGATGCAAAACATAAAATGTTTTAAAATGTTAACTATTCTGTACGAATACTAATTAGACATGGAAAGAATCTAAACTACGGCCACATCCAAGTCGATAATATGAAAATCAAACGCACGGAAACATATAAGTACTTGTGTGCAAACTTCAACTGCTCCAACATGCTTACAGAAGAAATACAATCTAGAATACAATCTAGAAATAAAGTATACTATGCCCTTCAATATCTACTAAAGTCAAAGTGTCTGTCTCGCAACACCAAGATCAAAATACATAAAACGTTGATAAGACCAGTCGTTTTATATGGCTCTAAAACGAAGCAGAAATAAAAGAGATGAAGCCTTATTACAGGTTTTCGAAAACAGTCTTACGACAAATCTTAAAACTCATCAGAAATGCTAACAGCTGGAAATGGAGAATGAGAAGCAACAACATAACACATAATCTTTACAAATCACCATTGATCACTGGCATCATGAGAGCTAACAGACTAAAATTGGTTAAGACATATTGAAAGAATGTCAGATGACAGAGAAGTAAAAACTATACACAAGGGAGATGAATGATCGTAGACCACGAGGCAGACAGAAAAGAAGTTCGAGAGATAATGTCCAGCCAGACCTGAAAACAACTGATGTCACAAACTTTGAAGAGAAGACCAGCCAGAGAGATGAATGGAGACGAGTGATATCTGCAGCAGTAAACCTCAAGGGCTCAGTATGACAAAGGAGAAGATGACTATTCTGTGCTACTTTATGTGAAGTAAAAGTTAAGCGTACATTTGACATTATAAATGTTTTTTTTTAAAGATATATTTTATTCACTATTCGTATTCGGTCGAATAGTTGGTCCCGTTATTCGTATTCAGCCGAATAGTGAAAATCACTATTCGGTACAGCCCTAGTTGAGTCATTACGACATTCCCTGTGCATGCAGCCACAGACCCGACGTGCCCTCTCTGCAGTGCGAAGCCCACCCTCGGGTACATATTGTCCGCGTGCAAGACACCCCTAGGCCAGGGACGGTATACATGGCGGCACAATAAAGTCCTAAAGAGTTAGCGGACATTGTGGACCAAGACAGGATGAGGGCCAACGCAAGCGCCAGTCCTACCGTTACCCCCATGAGCTTCCTCAAGGCTGTGCAGATTTATAAAGGTAAATTCAACAATGTCGCATACGCTCCATCAATACTTGACTGTGCGAGGGACTGGTTACTGGCTGTCGACCTGCCTTGTTTCGAGAGGTACCCAAAGTTAATCCGGAAGACCGGCCTGAGACCCGACATAGTCCAACACTCTGGAGAGAAACGTCAGCTCATCCTGATTCAGCTGACCGTGCTGTATGAGTCGCGAATGAACAACAGTCACACGTACAAGCTCTAGAAGTACTGTGATCTCGCGGCCAGTCTGATGAGAGACGAAGCTTACTTAGTAAAAATCTTCGCCGTCGAGGTAGGTGCAAGAGGTCTTGTCTCCACATCCACTTATAATGTGCTAAAGCAGTTGGGTTTAAGAGGAAATCAGCGTAAGCTGGCACTAAAACAGCTGGGCGAAGCTGCTGAGGCAGCTTAGAGCTGGCTCTAGACACAACGAAAATTCAGAGGAAACGGGCCTCGGTAGGCTGGTCTAGTAGGAAAGAACTTAACATCCTTTCAAAGGTCAAAGTCCCAAGTGTCCGCCAGTGTCTCTCCACCAACTGCTGAGTCTAATTAACACATGTCTGACAATAGCAGAACAGCATGCTCGAACCACAGCCTCTTGCTCGTCACTCGACCGTGAAGGTAGGCGGCCAATTTGCTACCACGTGATCAAATAACCAAATCTCACCACGGTACCCTTTGATTCACCTTCGTCTCGTCCATGCGTGTCCGATTAAGTGCAGCAGGAGATACTTAAGCCTGGCGACATGACTCAGGTTGGCCCACCTTCCGAGATTGTTTATAGATTGTTTAGGATGGTAACGGGCCAAAACAATTGTCGATGGCAGGTAATGATTTATTCTTTGCGATACAATGGTAATACATACACTGGTAAAAAGCTTGTTTTTAGTGAAGACTGTTTTCCAACACTAACTAAACTTGCCAGATCTGGCGCCTGACGTTTCTCTTCCCCAGGATAAAATGTCCTTTTCCAACTGTGGAATATTTACTTACAAGGAAGGGTAACTTTTTAAACACCTCTTCTGTAGAGGGCTTGAAATAGTACATAGGTCTTGTAAACGCTTCTTGTTCTTCTTTGTTCAATGCCTGTAAGCTGCGGCGGAAAGTACTGGTTGTTGGTCCATTGGGATTTTTGCTTTGGGCGAGGCTCTGAGTTTTGCTTGTTCAACCATTTTACTGGCTTGTGTGTGTATGCAGTTGGTTGTTCTTTGCACTAGGGCAGATGCACTCCGACTTCGAAGAAAGCCCCCAAATAGTCTATCAGCCACGACATGCTTGTTGACAAGACAGTGGGTCTGTTCTTATTGTATTCCACAATGGGGTCCCGGAACTCATACGGGGAGAACTTGTAAACGAATTGACTTACTAAGCGAGGACAACTGTATTTGGCAGAAAAGCTTGGCCCAAGTTGTCCGTACAAGAATTTATTTGTTTTATAACAATGTCTCAGAACCCAAGATCATTTCTTGAATGGAAAGGATCTAATATTTTACATAACATTTTACTAATATTATTTGAAGCAGAGAAGAAAGTATATATATATCTAGCACAATCTCGTTTTCACTGTTGTTATCAATCTTCTAAATTCTCTTTGTTTCAGGATATGAGGCTAAACAGAAGCGGTCACGTTTCTCTATGGCTGGTCCAAGTGACACTCTGGCTTGTTGGAACATGTACAGATCCGTTACATCTATCCCCGTTTCTGGAGAGAGGCGACATCAAATCTGCCTTGGAGCAAAGTGAAGTCAGGGATCCCCAAAAAATCATCCCACAGAGCTACGCCGGGTTTATAACCGTGGACAAACAACTGGGCAATCATTTGTTTTTCTGGTTCTTCCCTGCCATTTCAGAACCTCTTGCGCCGGTTCTTGTGTGGCTGAATGGTGGCCCTACAGTCTCCTCCATGCTGGGCCTACTGTGGGAAAACGGACCTATCAGAGTTACTAAAGAAGATGGAGCGAATGGTAATAAAACCTCTTACAAAAGATGGGAGAAATCTTGGGCGGAATCGTTTGCTATGCTATATATAGATAACCCAGTTGGTACTGGCTACAGTTATTCAGACAGTGGTCAACGTGGTTGGAAAACTACCAACGATGGCTACACCCAGGACATGTTTTCCTTTATAATCCAGTTCTACATATTATTTCCTGACTATTTAAACACCCAGTTATACATCGGGGGACAGTCTTACGCTGGGAGATTTGTCCCAGCCTTGGCCTACCGGATACACAAGGAAATCAAGGCAAACAGATCCTCGATACCCCTAGCTGGGATCTACTTAGGGGGTCCTTTCTTTGATCCCTACACCCAGGGTCTAGCTCAAGGTCTCTTCTATTATTCCCTTGGAGCAATATCGTATGCACAAAATCGCAATCACGAGAAATCTATCAGAGAATTTTTTGATAGAAACGATACAGGCGGACACAGTACTGCAAGCTTTGTGCATAAACTTTTATCCGCATGGAATTTTGTTGAAGATAACTATCATACAGGAGTTCCACCTGATTACGATCTGGTTGACAATCTGATGAACCTGAATCGCATTCGACAAATGGTTCACGTAGGCAACAAGCTTAAGTTCACAGCTACATACCCGGAACTGTATGACATGTTTACTTCTGATGTGCTGGTCAGTACAATGCCACAGCTGGCCGAGATCATGGACAACTACAAGGTTCTCATTTATTCCGGGGACTTTGATGGGATTACTACTGCTGTAAATACTGAAGAAGCCATTCTGTCGACACCTTGGTCCCTCCAGGGTGTTTACAATGCGTCAGATCGAAAAAGTTGGAACAATGGTTCTACAATTGTAGGTTATTATACACATATAGGCGGGTTCTGTCGAGTGATTGTCCGCAATGCTGGTCACCAGACACCTCACGATCAACCGGAAATCACACAGAAGATGATAATGGACTTCGTTCGTCACGGTTGTATTCGTCAAAGTGCCAGTAAGTTCTAGCTCATATTTGCTTCCTAGCTTCCTAACTGAATGACCGACTCACTTATTCACTTTCGCAAATATACCTACTGACTTCCTTATTCTTTCACGTACGAACGTACCTACATACATAAATACATACATACATAAATACACAATACATACATACAAAATACATACATACACAATACATACATACATAATACATACATACATAATACATACATACATACACACATACATACATTACACACATTACACACATTAAATACATTACATACATTACACACATTACTTACATTACATACATTACAAACATTACATACATACACACACACACACGCACGCACGCAAGCATGCACGACCGCACGCA